TAAACATGCAGTTATCAAAATCTTTTTTTTTTTGCTTTGGTATTATTATTATTAGAAACAGCACAATAACAGTTTCTTTAATAAAGCTAGTAATTAAACTTAATTAGCACAATCATAAAGGATGGATGAAAATAATGGAAAGGATCTTTGCAAGCCAAGAATTTTTTGTCTGTTTTCCTTGCCACAAACTGTTGGCAGCTAGTTTTCACCACTAAACTGTGGACAACATAAGCAACACCTTCTGGAGGACTATAAATGTTAATAACTCTGGTTTTAGGCCAACCAGTTCATAGTTATTGTAGTTTGGTATCCATTATATACAAGAAATGAAGATTGACACAGTAACAGATATGGAAGGACTATGAAAGATAAATAACAGTGTATCAAAAAACAAAAGTAATAAGCTGAGAATGTAATGTTTGCGTGTTTACAAGAAAACTGTCGGATTAACAAAATGTTTAAAGATGATGTTCTCGATCCTTTTTTTTTTAATGAAATAATTCAACATGAAAGCTGTTCTCTCATTGCTTCCAAGGGTCTAGCTTAGAATAAACAAGGTATAAGCCAGCTTTACATAGTGTGTGGCATACATAATCTGTCAAGAGTTTGTAGTAAGTAAAGCAGCTAGACCAACAAGAGGCCCATGAGCCACATCACTCACCTGAGCACTAAGGGTAGGAAAAAGTAGAAAATGGTTTTTTATTGTAAAGTTTAAATCCAAAAGTAGTCCCATGACCAATCATGGATTTGCTATTTTTTAGAAAATGATTTTTAAAGAATGTTCCTATATATATATCTTTGAAAACTTTGGTCGGCCATTTTGGCCCCACCTTACCCTCGGGGGTCATGATTTGAACAAACTTGAATCCACACTACCTGAGCATGCTTCCATATAAATATGATGAATTATGGCTTTGTCATTCTTGAGAAGATTTTTAAAGAGTTTTCCTATATATTTCTATGTAAAACTTTGGTCTGCCATTTTGGCCCCGCCCTACCCCCGGGGGTCATGACTTGAACAAACTTGAATATACACTACCTGAGCATGCTTCCATATATATATGATGAATTATGGCTTTGTCATTATTGAGAAGAAGATTTTTAAAGAATTTTCCTATATATTTCTATGTAAAACTTTGGTCAGCCATTTTGGCCCCGTCCTACCCCCGGGGGTCATGATTTGAACAAATTTGAATCTACACTACCTGAGCATGCTTCCATATATATATGATGAATTATGGCTTTGTCATTCTTGAGAAGAAGATTTTTAAGGAAATTTCCTATATATTTCTATGTAAAACTTTGGTCGGCCATTTTGGCCCCGTCCTAACCCCGGGGGTCATGATTTGAACAAACTTGAATCTACACTACCTGAGCATGCTTCCATATAAATATGATGAATTATGGCTTTGTCATTCTTGAGAAGAAGATTTTTAAAGAATTTTCCTATATATTTCTATGTAAAACTTTGGTCGGCCATTTCGGCCCCGCCCTACCCCCGGGGGTCACGATTTGAACAAATTTGAATCTACACTACCTGAGCATGCTTCCATATAAATATGATGAATTATGGCTTTGTCATTCTTGAGAAGAAGATTTTTAAAGAATTTTCCTATATATTTCTATGTAAAACTTTGGTCGGCCATTTTGGCCCCGCCCTACCCCCGGGGGTCACGATTTGAACAAATTTGAATCTACACTACCTGAGCATGCTTCCATATAAATATGATGAATTATGGCTTTGTCATTCTTGAGAAGAAGATTTTTAAAGAATTTTCCTATATATTTCTATGTAAAACTTTGGTCGGCCATTTTGGCCCCGCCCTACCCCCGGGGGTCATGATTTGAACAAACTTGAATATACACTACCTGAGAATGTTTCTCCATAAGTTTCATCTTTCCTGGCACAGTGGTTATTGAGAAGAAGATTTTTAAAATATGCCACCAAATTTTCATTTATTCCCAATTATCTCCCCCTGAATGAGGGCGTGGCCTTTCATTTGAACAAACTTGAATCCCCTTCATCCAAGGATACTTTGTGGCAAGTTTGGTTGAAATTGGCCCAGCGGTTCTTGAGAAGAAGTCGAAAATGTGAAAAGTTTACAGACGGACAGACAGCTAGACAGACGGACGCCGGACAAAATGTGATCAGAAAAGCTCACTTGAGCTTTCAGCTCAGGTGAACTAAAAACCCTTGGCTTGCCAAAATGACTGGAAAGAGATTTAAAAACCAAAAATTGTGTCTTGACAGAATGAATAAGGTTGAGGATATTTTGTGAATATCGATCTGTATTTTAAAGGAACTAATGAATATTTGAATTGAAATAAAAGCTATGTATTGCAGGTTTGAAGTTTCTAAGGACAGAACTTGATATTTATCACCTTGCACACTTCCATGAGATATTTCATGGAAATCTGTCTAGATTGAATGTATCAGGAAACACCTTTATGGATGTTCAAAAACTAGAATTACGTTTTTTAAATGACATTTAGTTTTCAGATGTTATATGTCATAATTGTCATCATCTGAGGAAAAAGAAAAGACTTCATAAAACATATTATTTAGGAAATAACATGCAGTCTGAAAAGTTTTTAAAATTAATTTAGATAAATCTCATCTGATGCATTCATTTAAACCTTACAATAAGTACACATGTACTTGGTCCTCTAAATCTTCTTCCAAAGGACTCTCCCTTTATTCATAAAAAATATCAATCATAAATATTTAGATTTATATAATAATTGTATGCCAAAAATTTAGTTATCTAATCTTTCCAAACATACACCAAATAGAGAGGATTTATTTCAACCTTATTTTTTTATATATATATATCAGATATGCATGCACACCTACTGGTCCCCAAACTAGAAAGTATATATACATACATGCATAGCTGCAGCATTATCTGTGTGCAAAGGAACATTCAATGGAACCTCACATAGAAAGTATAATTTAAAAGAAAAAAAAATCTTTAATGTAATATGTGCTGACTTAAAACTGTGCTTTTCATCTTACACTATGTAGCTCTAAATGCTAGTATTATATATAAAGAAGTTATTAGCAACCACCCCCTTTCCTTTTGCAGGTGCCCTATATTGATCAGTCTGTGCATCCAACAGTGTATCGGAATTTTGAACTCAAGTCTTAATTACAATAAAATCATCTCAAGAAATGGCTCGAAAAAAGATTAAGTCAGGTGCATTTTCACCCCTGTCAACACGCGATCGGCAACGCGGATGCGATCGGCAACGCGGATAGCTAAACTCAACTACATGAGGAAGATGAGGTTAAATAAAACATTATTTTGTCCTATTTCCTCGCAATTATCCTTCAACATTTCTAACTTTTTAAATGCTACTAGAAATGTTCAACACCATAAAAGTCCCCTACGCATTAAAAATCACCATATATTATGTTAAAGTTAAGTTTTCCTTGAACATGACTGCCCTAACGTGACACATGAAGCTCGTTTAAGTGGTATTTCTTACCTTATTACGTATACCCGACAGCCCAAAAGGCACATTTGCATTGTAAATAGGTAAATCATAAATTTTAAATCCGATTTGAAGTTCTTCATCAAATAGAAAGCGTTGAAATAACGGTTTGAAGTGAACACATGCCAAACGTTTTGGCGATCGGCAACGACTCTATATGCGATCGTACAACAAAGAAAATATGATAAACATGCGATCGTGCAACTTGAAATTTATAAAATACTTTTAATGAAATAAAGTAATAGATAGCCATGTGGTATGGGTGGAAAGTCTGTCGAAATAGAACGAGATACCAAAATTTGATGTTCGAGAGAGAAAGAGCGAATTTTTCTGACGTTCTTGTATATTAGTTGAATAATGTCCGTTTTTTAAGAGAACAAAATTTAAACTCCATGGAACCCTAAAACTTGATATTATTTGATTATTGTTTAAAACAGATACCTATAGAGTGTTATAGGACCGAATTTTATCAATATAGAAAAAAAGGTTTTATTGTCTATGATCACAGGTGCTTGAGGACAGGAACCTCCCCCCCCCCCCCTTTTCGATATAGATCCCTGGGCTTTTTCGATTTTTTTCTCATAAAAAATCTTTCATTACCACATTTGTGATAAGATCTATACCAGCAAATCGAAAAATTACCTAAAACAAATGTTCTATTAAATTTACCCTACATTCTCTATATAAAAATTTTTATATATAGAGAGGGTAGATATTTTTATAAAATGTAAGTTTAAGCAAATATCCTGAATTGATAGGATAGATTATATCACAAATGTGTCATTCATATAAATTATAATTTATGTGAAAAAATTCTAACAGGCCTGGGGGTCTATATTGGGGGGGGGGGGGGGGGGGGGGAGGGGGTTCCTGTCCTCAAGTACCTGTGTCTATGATATGGCAGTTCAATTACAGGAGTTGGCATACATATCAAAAACTGTATTTTTTTCCAGAAAATAAAAAAGATATGTATTAATACTATAAAAATAACGATCAAAGGAATTTGCATACCTACATGTAGCATCTTTACCGAATATTTTCAGTAAATGTTTTCAGTAAAAATGTGTTGTACACGCACGTAATAATATAACAGCATTATGTATTACATGATATATTTTAATTTACTGAAAACTGTTACCGGTATTATTATGAGTATTATTTTTTCTAATTAATTGCCAATTTTAACATCATGCACGTACATGTACATTGTAGAATCGGGGATGGGGTGGAGTGAAAACTTTACTTTCATAGGCGTCGGAAGCAAATTAAAGGGGGGCTAATTTGAAATGGGGGGCTAAACCAATAGACTGGTTGTCCCCCTTCTGCAGTATATAGTCAAATCCGGGTAAGGCAGATGGTATTTTTTTGGATAAAATTTGGTTGTTCAAGAACTTGAATCATAACACCCCCTCCCTCCATCCCACACAACACATTTCCGAAATTGAATTTTGAGTTTAGAAAATGTTCCTTTACTTACACTTTGCATGATAAACCATCTAAGATATTTAAGGGTTCTTGGGAGGAGGGGGAGGGGTGACACTGTTATGAATATTGAGGTAAAATTTCTACTTTACATTTTTGTTAGCCATCAAACTCTTTTTCAATTGTATCTCTTTAATCTACGTAGTTAATTTCAATTTTCTATATTGATGTAGGACAATTTTAAGAGTTAAAAAGTTACATAACAATGACTGATTGCCTAATTTAAATGTAAAATATCTACTGTATATCAAAATAAACTTTTTGACAACAAAATTCTCTGATTTGTGCTATTCTTATTTCGTGTGTTGTACGATCGCTATTTCTATGTTGTACGATCGCTTCATAAAAAGATAATGTTGTTGACGATCGCCTCGCGGTTGTCAAATTTTCCAGTTAAAATTTGTTTTAAGATAATGTATGTGGTTTTAATTTTAAAATCATTTAGTTATACTTCCAAGAACCGTTACGTAACAAAAGCAGCAAATGTTCTAAGGTAATAACAACAATAAACTATTTCAAAGCATGAAAATTTGATATTTTGAACAATGTCGATTTGATCGGTAGCATTTGCACAGAAACTGTGAAACAAATTTACTCTCGGTAAATCCTAAACTGTAGATAATTATCTAAACTAAATGTTTGCTAATTTTATTTTCAGCAGGTTACACCCCAGCACATACAAAATTATTCAAATTTACCCCCTACAATACTTTCTTCTTCAATGTTTTGATCTGCGTTGCCGATCGCATCCGCGTTGCTGATCGCGCGTTGACAGGGGTGATTTTGAGTAGGTCAGTAAATAACTGCATAGCGGTACATTTTTTTTTTATTTTAAGCCGTGTACTTACCTGGTCTCAGCAATGACAGTAACATTGATGTTGCCCTTGTTTTTGTAAGCGCCCATTTCCCAGGAGCAGGACAGAGAATGGTCCCAGTCGTACAGTACACACCAAAAGTCACTGTCATTTACAGGCTGTAGGGGGTCTGAAGAATATAGATATATACTGAATGGAAAGTACATTCATCACAGAAAATTTGATCTTGAATCAAAGATGTTAAATTTATCTTAAATTTTCTTCAATAATCAGAAACTAAATTCATTTAAAAACAATCTAATTAAAATTAGACTTCTCAAAATTGTAAATTTATTTGTCATATATATCCCTTTGATGAGTGACAAATAGATTTAAAAGGTCTAATTTTAACAATCTATGTTCAAAAAACAGAATTAATAATGCTTCCTTGATGTTGAAAAACATAATCATTCAATTTCAGCAAATAATTCATGAAAAGTTAGAATTGATAGCTTACACCATACTAAAACCTTTGATAAACATAAAAATAATTCTTACACTCAACCTCTACATAGGAGGATCCAACTTTTTTGTCATTTTTGTAACAATAGTAGACACCCTGGTCTTCAAAGTCTGTGATAACCTTCCTTAGTAGGATGGTGTTTTTTCCCTGATGTTCCATGAATTCTGATTGGTCCACATTATCGTTACTAAATGTAAACATCAGGAAGTGGGGACTGCTATCTTCTTCGATTGTACAATTCAATACCAAAGTGGATCCTTTTGTTACGTAAACATTTAATGGGTTGACTTCTGATTAAAAAAAAAAGTTATAAAGAAATAGAAAAATATTCCTTAATAAAGTGAACATGGTAAATACTTGACTTTAATACAAATGTAATTAAAGCACTCCCATTTAGAGATGGTTCACAGAGATTTTTTTTTTATATCTTTTCCAAGCAATATAATGTAATATTATATCTATTTATGAAATAGTTAAGGCTCTTAACTGCATTAAAAACATTTTATATATTCTCCTTTCATTATCAATAGCCTACCTCCACAGTTACAGCAGTTGTAAATACAAGAGTAAGGCTTAGGATTGTGCATTACCAGGAGATTCAGAAAAGTAAACCAAAACAGAGGCTGACAAAACAGATCCATTTTGACACATTCCACAAATCCTGCTTTATCCCTGAAAACAAGCAGTCCTTTTCATTTCCAAATGAAATTAAGAAGCAAAAAAAAAAATCTTTTTAGAAGATGAGTACCTAAACCAAATCAGACAAAGCAGGCAGAGACTGGTAAATAAGAAATACTACATGTATATGTTACGACTGACTCATAGTGAGCTGGTATTGTGCAAACAATTACATCAAGCAAGGTTACAAAAGTCAGCAAAACAAAAAATGTGACTGGCTTATGTAAACTGTTTCAATATGATGTCTTTGGAGATTGTCGTATCAAAAGTGATCTATAAATCTAAGACTTTAAGTCTCATTTTATGCTTGTTTAAAAATGAATATGATTACAAGTTAGACAACAGTAAAGTGAGTGCATGTCACACAGTCACTTGTTTCTATTAAGCTAAGGCCCATCCCCTTCATAATTTTACACAGTGGTAAAAATTAGTAGGAGGTACATCCCTGAATATGAACACATGCCTGTGGTATTCAGTCCTACTTACCAAATATTGTGGCTCAGAACTTGTGTACATGTACATATCAGTTACATATATAAATAATTATCTGGTTTATTCCTCCTTTTTATGTCTTTTTCTATTAAATCATGCAAGTCTTTCTCTCTTGAATGTATTTATAGTGTACTAGAGGTACTGTGAGCAATGAGCTCACTGAATGATACCCCCGCCTCCCATATGGTTATAATGGCAAAGTCCATGATTTGCTTTGGCCGGGAAACCCAAAATTTGTGTCGGATCAAAAAGTAAAATAGGAGGTACACATTTGGCAATATGTAATAAAGATTCTGTGAAAGTTTCATTAAATTTCACTCAGTGGTATAAGAGGAGTTGCGGATAAGAGATGGGTACCCCAAAGCATAACAGAAAGATGGACGGACGGACGTACTGATTACAGTACTTTTCAAGTGGGGGGTATAATTACATGTACATGCTTATGATGTGTTTCTGTATTTAGCAAGATGATGCAAGTCACCCCACAGGGGCTTGCTCCTGGTGTGTTATAATTATTTAGTTAAACCAGAAGTCTCTGTCGAGACTGAAGCTCTACTGGTTTGTACTTATAGCAAAGGAAGAGAAAAGTACTTAAGCAGTTGGAAATTGAAACTTTTCAACAGCAATAAATAGAATAATGATCCTTGATTAAGTCTCTTTATGTTCTTAGTGCAGTCTACTTGCATGCCACATTTATATTATAATCAGACTAAAATTGTATTTGGAGTAGCATTTTGAAAGAATTTCACAGAAATTTCTATTTTTAGTAACTACGGCAACACCGTTCATCGAAATCAAAAACTGATACACAGAATTATGTATCTTATTGTAGTCTACTTGTGTGCCAAGTTATATTGAAATCAGACTAAAACTGTAGAAGGAGTAGCATTTTGAAAGAATTTCACAGAAATCTTTATTTTTAGTAACCACGGCAACACCGTTCATCAAAATCAAAAACTGATACACAGAATTATGTATCTTATTGTAGTCTACTTGTGTGCCAAGTTATACTGAAATCAGACTAAAACTGTAGAAGGAGTAGCATTTTGAAAGAATTTCACAGAAATTTCTATTTTTAGTAACAACGGCAACACCGTTCATCAAAATCAAAAACCGATACACAGAATTATGTATCTTAGTGTAGTCTACTTGTGTGCCAAGTTATATTGAAATCAGACTAAAACTGTACAAGGAGTAGCATTTTAAAAGAATTTCACAGAAATTTCTATTTTTAGTAACCACGGCAACACCGTTCATCGAAATCAAAAACCGATAAAAAGAATTATGTATCTTATTGTAGTCTACTTGTGTGCCAAGTTATACTGAAATCAGACTAAAACTGTAGGAGGAGTAGCATTTTGAAAGAATTTCACAGAAATTTCTATTTTTAGTAACCAAGGCAACACTGTTCATCGAAATCAAAACCCGATATACAGAATTATGTATCTTAGTGTAGTCTACTTGTGTGCCAAGTTATATTGAAATCAGACTAAAACTGTAGAAGGAGTAGCATTTTGAAAGAATTTCACAGAAATTTCTATTTTTAGTAACCACGGCAACACCCTTCATCGAAATCAAAAACCGATACACAGAATTATGTATCTTAGTGTAGTCTACTTGTGTGCCAAGTTACATTGAAATCAGACTAAAACTGTAGAAGGAGTAGCATTTTGAAAGAATTTCACAGAAATTTCTATTTTTAGTAACCACGGCAACACCGTTCATCGAAATCAAAAACCGATAAACAGAATTATGTATCTTAGTGTAGTCTACTTGTGTGCCAAGTTATATTGAAATCAGACCAAAACTGTAGGAGGAGTAGCATTTTGAAAAATTGTTTACAGACAGACAGACGGACAGACAGACAGACAGACGGACGGACGACGGACGCATTACTATCGCATAAACTCTTCTGGTCTCTGACCAGTAGAGCTAAAAATCATATATGGTAATAATAAAACTGCACAAGGGAGGATGCCATTTTGGACCCCTTCCTTGCTTCAACCTCTGTTTTCGTTATATTTTGCCGCATTTTAGACTAAAAATAATCCAAAAGCGCTTGTTAGGACAGTTGATATGGACAGAAAGTGAAAGTAACCTCAGCATTTTACATTCGAATACGGAATTATAACATGGTTTTTATCAAATTTATAATTAGCAGCTAGTTGTTTAAAATAGTAGAAAAACCCTGAAGTTTTCGAATATGTTTTCGCTTTCTGTCCATATCAACTGTCCTAATGTCAGTGTGTTTGAATTATTTTTAGTCTGAAATGTGTATTATAGAGGCTCCAATGGGAAAATTCAAGCATAAGGTCTTAGAAGAATCATTACATATGATAGATCCGAGGCGGTGAGTGAGTAAAATGCGGCAAAATATAATGAAAACAGAGTTTGAAGCGAGGAAGGGGTCCAAAATGGCGTCCTCCCTTGTGTAGTTTTATTATTACTGTAGATGATTTTTAAAATAAATAATTAGACATGCAGGGAGCAAGCCCCTGTGGTCACCCATTTATTTAAGCAGACATTCTATATTCCAAACAATCAACATATTTTTACTAGATAATCTATTCGTTCTTAAAAATGTATGCATATAAGCTATCTATAAATACAATAAAACAATTTCTTTTATTTTTTAAAATAAAAATTGTTATATCATATGTGTACATATGTGTTACAAAAACCTACTTCTACTTTCACTTTGTCTGATTGAAATTTGTTCAACTGAATATTTTCAGATGACAATGACATTTTCTCAAAGAAAGCCTTTACCTGTTATACTTTTTTTTTTTCGAGGAGACAATATCAACACTCATAAAACAGCTAATATTGTATAATGGTCACCATCCCTTGAAACCATCATCAACGAATGAAATGGCGGGATGCTTGTTACTGGGTTTCCCCTCACTTCTCATAATGCTTTCGAAATGTCTAATGTGGCGATTTTCTGCCTCCGTTAATATAATTATTCTCTTCTCCTTAATACCAAATCTTCATGATCTCACCTTAATAACTTGAGCAGAGATAAAACTTATCGACAAAATGAAAATCCGGTCAATTATATTTAAACGGTCTCCATTCGTTTCGTTTCTACTCTCCCATGGACTCGTATACTTACACTCCAGGTAAAGTTCTGAAGATAACGTAGACATTCGTCTTCAAACCTGATTCACTGAATATCTATAAGAAGTGCAAGTAAAGCAGAAATTCCATAACAAATCAGACAAAATTTTATATTTCTTTAGATTGAATGGGAAAAATCCCATGTGATCATGCAATTCCTATATTCGAAATTTCTCCACCGCCCCAACACCCCCCCCCTTCTTTGTTGCAGATATGTCCCTTGGTAATCATAATGTATTAATGAAGTATGATATCATTCAATGGCGTCGGAAGCAAATTGAGAATTGGGAAGGGCTTGGTTTTTTTAGCTCTACTGGTCAGAGACCAGAAGAGCTTATGCGATAGTAATGCGTCCGGCGTCCGTCCGTCTGTCTGTCTGTCTGTAAACAATTTTTCAAAATGCTACTCCTCCTACAGTTTTGATCTGATTTCAATATAACTTGGCATATAAGTAGATTACACTAAGATACATAATTCTGTGTATCGGTTTTTGATTTCGACGAACGGTGTTGGCGTTGTTACTAAAAATAGAAATTTCTGTGAAATTCTTTCCAAATGCTACTCCTCCTACAGTTTTGGTCTGACTTCAATATAACTTGGCACACAAGTAGACTACACTAAGATACATAATTCTGTGTATCGGTTTTTGATTTCAACGAACGATGTTGGCGTTGTTACTAAAAATAGAAATTTCTGTGAAATTCTTTCAAAATGCTACTCCTCCTACAGTTTTGGTATGATTTCAATATAACTTGGCAAACAAATAGACTACACTAAGTTACATAATTCTGTGTATCGGTTTTTGATTTCGACGAACGATGTTGGCGTTGTTACTAAAAATAGAAATTTCTGTGAAATTCTTTCCAAATGCTACTCCTCCTACAGTTTTGGTCTGACTTCAATATAACTTGGCACACAAGTAGACTACACTAAGATACATAATTCTGTGTATCGGTTTTTGATTTCAACGAACGATGTTGGCATTGTTACTAAAAATAGAAATTTCTGTGAAATTCTTTCAAAATGCTACTCCTCCTACAAATTTAGTCTGATTTCAATATAACTTGGCACAGAAGTAGACTACACTAAGATACATAATTCTGTATATCGGTTTTTGATTTCGACGAACGGTGTTGGCGTTGTTACCAAAAATAGAAATTTCTGTGAAATTCTTTCAAAATGCTATTCCTCCTACAGTTTTGGTATGATTTCAATATAACTTGGCACTCAAGTAGACTACACTAAGGTACATAATTCTTTATATCCGTTTTTGACTTCAATGAATATTATTACCTTGGTTAATAAAGATAGCAATTTCTGTTACTCTCAAATTTGCTACTTCAAATACAGTTTTAGTCTGATTATAATATAATGTGGCTTG